AAAAAAAAAAAAAAAAAAAGATATATATACGTATAGTATATGGCCTCGCTCTTCATGAGTTCTCAGTAGTTCAAAGTGGATAGAGAGCGCCCGCCTTGTGTATGGGAGGTCATATGTACGCATCTTGTTGAGGACTCAGATTTTTTCTTTGTTCCACGTTAGTGACATGCTGATTCATTCATTTTTACATAATTTCAAATGTTAGAAAATTATTTTAAAATATCCGCTTTTTTCTCATTACCAATAAAAATCTGAAGTCTCTGCCCTTTCTGCACCTGATCTCATAGACAACAGAAGTTTACTTCAAGGGGTTCAAAAGGTCATGGTTCATGGTTTTAAAATTGGTGGATTTCGATCCGTTTGGTGTGTTTCTGTGTTTCAATGAAGGTTCGTTATTTTTAAACTTTAATTTTCGCGTTTAAGTGTTATATTTTTTTAGATTCCCAAATTGAAATTCAAGGATTTTGACAACGCAAGTCCCTTGGTCCCCGAAAAAACTGTTAGCGCACACATGTTAAAACTTTAATTTTGCTATTATTGCCTGTTACTGAATACGCATGCTCTATTTGTCGTTATAGCCTACCGCAACACCCTCGGTTGATGTAGAGAGAGATGTCAAAGGCGGTTTTCCTACGATGACAGCGCTCTTCATGACTCAGCTAGTCGCCTTACAAGAATGCCGCGAGTTCTTAAGTGACAACCTTTTATATTCCATTCTGTGTAATCCTTCACACAAGCTGTACAACTAGCTTAGTCTCTTCTAAAAACAAGTGCGAGATCAATTTAAGGGCTGGGTAAGCTCGCTTTCATCTCCCCCTACCCGTTCTCGTAATAGCTTTATTCATTTTAATGTCAATACTACCGAATCCGGTAAGGGCAACGTAAATTTGCTCTCTCATTTTCTGGTTTCGAGACCTTACTTTTAGCAATTTTTTTCTTCGACTTTCTTTGTGACCGGTAGTTATCTGCGAGCCTAAATACTCTTAAGTTAACGCAAATTTGAAGCAATTCCATATGAGAGCCAAACAAAGGCTAAAGGCTAAGACTTCTCGATGTTAAAGTCTTAAATGAAAGCATGCATCGATAAGATTATCCTACATTAAATACCTTGGTAGAACTGCTTTATTTAGGGGCAATAAACCAGTTACAACAATGTCGCCACAATGTAGATTTTTTTATCATTATCATTCTTACATTTTAAAACCATACTTTTTTCAGATATTAAGCCTTCATTTTTTTTTTTAAATCAAACGTACCCCCGAGCTCTACCTGTTATGTTTTATCAACTAAGACACTATCTATCTATCTATCAAAGTAAAAACTTGCAAGAGGTGACAGGCCGCACATCTTCACCGGCGTGAAACCTTTGAAACCTTTTATAAATTACTCCATTGAGGAGACCTCTTTCAGGGATCTTACAGTTTCAAATTTGAACGATGATATCGCTTCTATGTGGCAGACTCAGAGATACGGCTCGGTACAGTTTATGTTCAGCAAGGGAAAATTGTGTATAAATTGAGCAGAACCTGGTTCAACAGACAATTTATTCAGTTCGCGCGTATTCCTGTTGAATTTGTAGCCCGTTTATGAGATATGTCTACTCGAAAATATAGTAATTTTTCCATAGCTGCCGTTATCTTAGAGTAACTGCTTTTCATATCTCCGTAAGTTTAGGTTTACGCGATCTCAGAGAACAATGTTTAGCTGTACACAGCACGTATGTAGTCTTTTTTAAAAAATATATATCCAGATCTGACACTGGTTTTCGGGTATTTATCACGTCTAAGCATGATTTAAATACATTATGATGCTGTGTCCTTTGAATATCGTTTTAAAACTCAATCGCTTTGTAAATGTCACTTGTAGTTTTAATATCAGAGGAGAGTATTTTAAAGCTCAATATTTTTCAATACCATTAGCATGTTGTTTTTTTACCAATCAATTGACTGGCTTCTTTGTGCCACTACATAACGTGTGTAGTTAAATATAAGTTTACAAGCAAGACCGGCGGTTTCGAATCTTACGATTCTCATCAGTTGCTATGTGGTGGGATGGTTGAGGTGAGCTCTGAACCATTCCGTATTGCTTGATTTAGTAAGCGTTTATATATCCACCCTGGTTTGTTTGGAGGATCGAAAATGGTGCGGTTTGATTGGTTCCCCGCAAAAAACCAATCAGGTTGCTGTAGGCTCGATCCGTGTTTTCCCATAGCTAGGTTGTGTTTTTATAAAGGTTTAAATTTGAAAAATAGGTGTCTTGCCTTGCTTTTTGTAAAGTATAAAAACATCTTCTTAAAATGTTTAATGATGTATAAGTGTTCCTCAAAATGGCGAGGGACTATGTTGTATATTTTCGTTTCAATTTAAAGCGAGGCTTGCGTTGACTATACAGTTGTGTACTGTACAGAATCATGCAGAATGTAGACAAGATTATTTTTTACTGGCACAGCATGGCACCGTATGGCGTGAGTAACTTTAACGGATGACAGACTGCACATGTATAACGGCGTGAAACCTTGAGTTAACCTTAAATGTTTTGTCATTTGTAAATTAGAGCTCTGAGTTGTTTTTATAAAAAGGTTGAAATAATAGATTTTGGGACTTTGTCAAACTTTTTATTCAAATATAGAATTTTTCATGAAAACAAAACAATTTCTTAGTTTGTTCGAAATGTGTTGTTTCAATTGTTTTCATTTAAAGGTTGACTTTTCTGTACAGTGGTGTACTGCCTGTGAACAGGTTTGTTGTGATTTTATGTTGTTTCACTGGTGGAGCAGGGCACTGTCTGGAAAGCGTCAAAATAAAAACTTGCAAGAGGTGACAGGCCGCACATCTTCACCGGCGTGAAACCTTTGAAACCTTTTATATATCCCTTCGGGATTTTCTGTTTTACGTCATCCTAACCATCTCTTACTTACGGGCGCGAACAAAAGAAAACGTTAACCACCTATCCCTTGCGGCCCCTATCTATAAAAGAAATCGATATTTTTTTCTGGTATACTGACTATAAATAACAACTGTAAGTACTTTCCCTGCTCTTGGCGGGCAATAAGTTCTTAACTGACTTTTAACGAGAGTATTTTCTAAAGTGACGAATGGCACTTG